ATCAGTTTCCAACAACGTTGACGGATTAACCGATGCAGAATTCGAAGAAATAATGAACCGTAACCGAACGGTCTCATCCTCAGCAATAACTCGTGCTGTTAGTGATGCGGCCGCCAATGATTTTACATCGGCCATAGAAACACTGGTCACGGCAATATCGCTAATTCGTCAAAGTCGTGTTGCGAATGACGATCGCTGCAAAGTACTGGTTTCGTCATTACAGGTTCGTACTTTTTATTTATATCACACCCTTTTTTTTTTAACGAAACTCCATTTATAAAAGCCAAAAGACGGAATTATTGCGGATGCGATGCCGACAACATAGAGATGGTGATAATGCTTTTGGCCTGGACTTGCACTCATTCACTCATTCGCGTAAGAGCAGCAAGGACATTATGCAAAAAGCGGACGAAGAAAGCTAAAAATTTTTTTATTTTTTCATTTTTCTCTTTAATTTACCACACTACTGCATGCTTATAATACTCCTGCTGCAACCATCACACTGACGAGTTGTCCAGTTCCAGCAATGAATGGAAATGTATGCGACTTAATGGACCGTAACATTTCAATTCAGTTTTCATATTTATTTTTGTTTTTATTTTTTGATTTTTACAAAATTTTTCATAACCATAAAATATCTAAATTTAAGTTTATCTATATGTATGGGTATATTTCCAGGACACTTTAAATGGAATTGAGAACAAATCGTACAACTCATCAGCGCGTAAGCATCGATCAACTCGTGATCGTTCACGCTCACCGTCGGAGCGTTCTCGAAAGCGGCATCGTCGCTCATCGCGAAGTCGATCACGTTCGCGCGAGCGTTATGATTACTCGCCGCGGCACTCGTCTTCATCAGGTCGTCGCGCCTATTAATTACTGAATGCCCCATTTTGGTTTTGTTAATTCCTATGTGAACTTCACTCCTTTAAAAAAAAAAACAAAAAAGAAAAAAAAAACAAAAAAAAAAGAAAAAAAAAGCGGAATTGATTACTTCTTTTTTCTTTTTTTTTTAACAGCGGTTTATTTTGTTCGTATTTTGTCATGCGGTTTATTTTGTTTTTGCGTTTT